TTATCCATTCTTCGGTTGAGAGGTATTTAGGTTGTTTCCAAGTTCTGGCTATGACAAACAATCTTGCTGTGAACATAGTTGAGCACATGTCCTTGTACAATTAAGCATCCTTTAGGTATATACCCAAAAGTGGTATTGCTAGGTCTTGAGGTAGGTTGTTTCCTAATTTTCTGAGAAATTGCCATACTGAAATACAAAGTGGCTGTACCAGCTTGCCCTCCCACCAGCAATGGAGGCATATTCCCTTTACCCCACAACCTCTCCAGCATAAGTTGTCATCAGTGGTTTTGATCTTGGCCATTTTTACAGGTGTAAGATAGAATCTCAGAGTTGTTTTGATTTGCATTTCTCTGATGGCTAAGGATATTGAGCATTTCCTTAAGTGTCTTTCAGCCATTTTAGATTTCTCTGTTGAGAGTTCTCTGTTTAGGTCTGTACCCCATTTTTATTGAATTATTTGTTCTTTTGATGACCAATCTCTTGAGTTCTTTGTATATTTTAGAAATCAACCCGCTGTCTGATGTGGGGTTGGTGAAGATTTTTTCCCATTCTGTAGCCTGTCGTTTTGTCTTATTGACCATGTCCTTTGCTTTATAGAAGCTTCTCTATTTCAAGAGGTCCCATTTATTAATTGTTGCTGTCAGTGTCTGTGCTACTGGGATTATATTTAGGAAGTGGTCTCCTGTGCCAATGCATTTAAGTGTACTTCCCACTTTCTCTTCTATAAGGTTCAGTGTGGCTGGCTTTATGTTGAGGTCTTTGATCCATTTGGACTTGAGTTTTGTGCATAGTGATAGATATGGATCTGTTTTCATTTTTCTACATGCTGATGTCCAGTTATGCCAGCACCATTTGTTAAATATGCTTTCTTTTTTCCATTTGATATTTTTTGCTTTTTTTAATAATCAGATGTTTGTAGGTGTATGGATTGATACCTTCGATTCAGTTTCATTGGTCTTCCTGTCTGTTTTTATGCCAGTACCAGGCTGTTTTCAGTACAGTAGCTCTGTAGTAGAGTTTGAAGTCAGGGATTGTGATGCCTCCAGAAGTTCCTGTATTGTTGAGGATTGTTTTGGCTGTCCTGGGTATTTTGTTTTTCCATACGAAGTTGAGAATTGTTCTTTTGAGATCTGTGAAGAATTTTGCTGGAATTTTGATGGGCATTGCATTGAATCTGTAGATTGCTTTTGGTAAGATTGCCATCTTTACTATGTTACTTCTGCCTACCCAAGAACATGGAAGATTTTTCCACTTTCTGGTGTCTTCTTCAATTTCTTTCTTAAAAGATTTAAAGTTCTTGTCATACAGGCCTTTCACTTATTTGGTTAGACTTACTCCAAGATATTTTATGTTATTTGTGGTTATTGTGAAGGGGTGTTGTTTCTCTGATTTCTTTCCCAGCCCTTTTATCATCTGTGTACAGGAGGGCTACTGATTTTTTTCAAGATAATCTCATATCCTGCTCCATTACTGAAGGTATTTATGAGTTGTAGAAGTTCCTTGGTAGAATTTTGGGGGTCACTTATGTAAACTATCATATCATCAGCAACAAGTAAGAGTCTGACCTCTTATTTTCTGATTTTTATCCCCTTTATCTCCTTTTGGTGTCTTATTGCTCTAGCTAGAACCTCAAATTCTATATTGAATGAATATGGAGAGAGTGAACAGCCTTGTCTTGTTCCTGATTTCAGTGGGATCATTTTACGTTTCTGTCCATTTAGTTTGAAATTGGCTATTGGCTTATTGTATATTGCCTTTATTATGTTTAGGATAGCTACACCAGCTTGTTTCTTTGGTCCATTTGATTGGAAATTTTTTCCCAACCTTTTACTCTGAGGCGATTTTTGTCTTTGAGGTTGAGGTGTGTTTCTTGTATGCAGAAGAAGGATGGATTCTGTTTTCATATCCAGTTTGTTAGCCTGTGTCATTTAATAGGTGAGTTGAATCCATTTGTATTAAGGGATATTCATGATCAGTGATTGCCAGCTCCTATTATTTTAGTTTCCATTGTTGGTAATGTTATTGTGTATGTGTTTCCCTTCTTTGAGATTTGCTGCTGTAAGATCATCTCTTGTCTGTGGTTTTGTGGATGTAGCTAACTTTCTTGGGTTGGAGTTTTCCTTCTAGTATTTTGCGTAGGGCTGGGTTTGTGGCTAGGTATTGGTTAAATCTGGTTTTGTCATGGAATATCTTGTTTTGTCCAACTATGTTGATTGAAAGTTTTGCTGGGTATAGTAGTCTGGGCTGGCATCTGCATAACGCTTGACTAGGACTTTCTGGCTTTCATTGTTTCCATTGAAATGTCAGGTGTAATTCTGATAGGTCTGTCTTTATATGTTACTTGGCCTTTTTCCTTTGCAGCTCTTAATATTCTTTCTTTATTATGTATGTTTAGTGTTTTGATATTATGATCCAGTCTATTTGGTGTTCTATAAGCTTTGTGTATCTTCATATGCATACCTTTCTTTAGGTTGGGAAAGTTTTCTTCTATGATTTTGTTGAATATATTTTCTGTGCTTTTGAGTTGGACTTCTCCTTCTATCCTTATTATTCTTTGGTTTGGTCTTTTCATGGTGTCCCATATTTCATGGATATTTTGTGTTAAGCTTTTGTTAGAGTTAATGTTTTCTTTGACCCATGAGAGTCTATTTCCACTTGAGATTCTCTCTTATATTCTGCTGTTTATGCTTATATTTGTGGTTCCTGATCATTTTCTCATAATTTCTGTTTTACTGTATTTCCCTCAGTTTGTGTTTTCTTTATTGTTTCTATTTTGGTTTTCAAGTCTTGAATCATTTCTTTCATCTGATTGCTTTTTCTTTGGTTTTTTAAAAAGGGGTTTGCTGATTTCTTCCAATTTTTTGTTTGTATTTTACTCCATTTCTTTGAGGGAATTTTTCATTTCCTCTTAAAGGGCCTCAAACATCCCCCTAAAGTTAATTTTTTAGGTCGTTTTCTTCTGCTTCATCTATATTTGGGTGTTAAGTCTTGCCATTGTTGGTGTCATGTTGCTCTTTTTGGTGTTGAATGTGTTCTTTTTGTTGTTGTTTTCTTTTCTTTGTTCTGTTTTTTGTTTTTCAAGACAGGGTTTCTCTGTAGCTTTTGGAGCCTGCCCTGGAACTAGCTCGTCTAGACCAGGCAGGCCTCGAACTCACAGAGATCCACCTGCCTCTGCCTCCCAAGTGCTGGGATTAAAGGCGTGCGCCACCACCACCCAGCTTGAGTATGTTCTTACCTTGCTGTCTCTCTAGTGATCAGTCTTCCAGGTGCCAGTAGATCCAAGACTCAGATGGCTGCTCCTTGTGGTGCAGTCAGGGCTATGGTTCCAGTCACCCTGGAGGTCACTTGGTATTCCCAGAAGTTGCTCCGCATTCCCAGGGGTTGCTCTGCAATCTCTGGCATCTTTAGGACCTGCTCCCACAAAGGTTGCTTGCTTGGGGCTGCTCCCACTGAGGTCACTGCCTTGGACCTGCTCCAGCAGAGGTCACTGGCTCAGGACTGCTCTGGCCAAGGTTGCTGGCTTAGGCCTGCTCCCTTGGAGGTAGCTGATTCATGCCTCTTCCCACAGAAGTCTCTTGCTCAGGCCTGCTTCCTCAGAGGTGGCTCCCTTGTACCTGCTCCTGTGGAAATCATTACCTCAGGCCTTGCTCCTGTAGAGGTTGCTGCCTTGGACCTCCTCTTGCTCTGGTGGAGGTCATTGGCTCAGGCCTGTTCCTACAGATGTTGCTGGCTTGGGCCTGCTCTTTTGGTGGTTCCTCCCTTGTACCTTTTCCTGTGGAGGTCTGCCTCAGGTCTGTTCCTGTAGATGTCCCTGGTTTGGGTCTGCTCCCATGGAGGTCCCTGGCTTGAGCCCAGTCCTGAAGAGGTCTCTGGCTCAGGCCAAGCATTTGTTCTTTCACCGTTTGTCATGCTGCATGGACTTATAGGTGTCCCTTGTCAAGTTCAGGAGTCCCTAGTTAATCCCAATTAAGAGTATTGACTTTTGTTAAATGTTTTTTCTCCATTTATGATTATCTGAACTGCTTCTTCTGTAGTTTATTATGATGAATTATGTTAATTAATCAATGTTCTAATATTGAGCCAACTTTTCATTCTTAGAATCAGTCTTACATTACATGCTGTGTAATTTTTGGTGTCTATATCTGAGAGCTGTTTGTTTACATGTTGAAAATTTTGCTGCCCATTCATGAAAGATTTCTGCCTGTATTTCTCAGTACCTTCTTCACCTGGTTTTGGTGTCAAGGAGCATATTGTATAGTATTGGTTAGTTGGTTGGTCGGCCAGTCAGTCAGTCTTTGAAACAAGATCTCAATGGACAATTCAGACTGGCCCCAACTGTGCAGTCCTCCTGCTTCAACCTCAGCACTGATTACAGGCATGTGTCAACCAAGCCCAACAAGGATTGGTTTGAGTGTAACTCAGTTCATTCTCTTTAATGCTTGTTCTGGGTGTTACAGTGCACACACTACCTTTCAATGCTTACTGGTATTCAGATTTAAGTCCTTTAAAAAAGCGTATACATCTTACCTTCTGTGTTTCCTTATTCTCCACCATTCATCTGGTTGTTTTAAATACTTTACAGACACTGAAACAAGCTATGTAACTTTTGGTCTCTGGAGAAGAAAAGCTTATTTTGCCCCACCCCACCCTATTTTTCTCTTTATAGTTTGAGAAAAGGAAAATTTTCATTGATACTTGGAAATGTGTAGCACACACAGACACACACACACACACAGACACACACACACAGACACACAGACACGCACACACACACACACAGACACACACACAGACACACACAGACACACAGACACACACACACAGACACACAAACACAGACACACACACACAGACACACACACACACAGACACACACACACAGACACACACACACAGACACACACACACACACAGACACACACAGACACACACACACACACACACACACATCTGTTCCCTGCCTTTCTGAGTGTCTGTTCTAAAGTGAACTTCCTTTCCAGGTCGCCTGAACTGGTGGTCTACCGTGTGCACAAGCTGTAAAAGGCTTCTTCCTTTGGCCACGACAGGGGACGGGAACTGCCTCTTACATGCCGCCTCACTGGGTAAGCACCCCAGCACCAACAAAAGCCAGCAAGGCTCGGGTTCTATCTGATGCATGGTTAACAAATACAGCCACTCATGCTGCTGTCATCTGAATGCCTGTGGCATCCTGGCCCTTCTAGTCAGGCTGGGTTGATGACAACAGAGCACTCTGGGGTAAACACCTGTCTCGCTAAGAGACCTTGAGCAGGAGCTTCAAGGACAACAGGTAGATGGGTACTCTGGAGCAAACTACGAGGACTTCCTAGAGAATGCTGGGTCTTTACTGAGACCTGGGAACTTGAAGAAATAAAAGACACTGTAGGCAGGAGCCAGCACAGACAAAGCACAAAGGCGGAAATCACAGGATGTTCAGAGGCTATGCTGGATGAGGCTCCACCAGAAAGACTTGGGAACAGTGTGTGGCACAGGGTAGTTTGCTGGCTGCCTATAGACAGTCTGTGATGAGAAGACAGATGTAGGAATACTCAGGTAATCACAGTTAGGTACAGAGCGCATGTATTCACTACCTTCCCCAGGGAACCACATCAGCGGATGCACAGCTGTGCGTGGCAACATTAGATAACTCACAGTCTCCATGAACTTTCTAGAATCTCTGTCCTCCCATGCACAGAGTTGATACCATGTGACAAGCAAGTCTAGATTTATACCAGGGCCCTGAACATCAGATCTACGGCTCTTCCTCGGGCCTAGAGGACTGTCTCTGTCAAGGGAACAGGACTCCTGGATAAGAACATAGCTCTTATTAGGCAAGATATCTTCCTAGTTAAATGTGACCTGACCAAGGGCCAGGCCCACACCTTATTTAGACCAAAGTGGGGCCTGCTCAGTACAAGGCAAGCTGAGGATGCTGAAAAGATCTCTGAGCAAAATGCTCAGAGAGGCCCTGAGACTAGAGATGAGACTAGAGACTAGTGTGTGTGATGGCAACAATGGGAAAGACAAAGGCAGCCACTCCCTGCTTCCTCCCCACAACAGGGGCAGCACATTCTGCCACTCCCATTGAGCCTATGTGGTGATATGCCCCTTTAATATGAGCGCTAGGAAGCAGATAGCTATGAGTTCAAACCCAGCCTGTTCTACATGGTGAGTTCTAGGATAGCCAAGGTTACACAGTGAGACCTGCCTCCAAAAACAACAATAACAAAAACAAAGCTGCCAAGAAACAGACTTGGTCTTCTCTAGGGATGAGCTCCCTAAAGATTATCCAATCCCAAACTGTCAGCCATATATATATATATATATATATATATATATATATATATATATATAACACTAAGTGAACTCAACAGATAGTATCTATACATATCTATGTGTATATGTAACAATAAAAAAGATAGCAGGCCATGAATCTGAGGAGGAGCTGGAGGGAGAAGACAGGAGAAAATGATGTAAATACAGTACTCATATGAAAGTCTCAAAAATGTTAAAAATCTCAAAATAAAAAATTATTTAATTTTTTTAAAATTAAAAATTTTTTTTAAAAAGTCTAGTCTGCTTCCCAGCAACTTCCTTGGTTAGGTCTCACTTCTCAAAAGTTCCACAGCTTCTCAAAACTGCCATCTGGGGACCAAACATCCAGTCACCTGAACTTGTGGGGAAAATTCACATACAAACCCTGGCGGGAATACCCATTTTGCCTGTTAAATCACTTGCAAGCTTCTATAATCATTAAATACACTGAGACATGTGTTTCCAATATGGCAGATGATAGTACCATAGATTATGGAATACTTGAAATGTAGCTGCTACCAATAGAATCACTATGTAATTCTAAAATGCACCTAGACTTTGAAGGCATCATAAACAACATAAAATGTCATATTCTTAACGATTATATACTTAAATGGTATTTTGATATGTTAAACTAAATGAAATTTGATATTAAAACTCAAAACAAAGCATTAACAATGTAACTACTACTTTATTATAATGAGCTTACAATTAAAAAATTTTAGATTGGCTAGATTAAGGTAGCCTCTCAAATATTATACATCTCAAACTTTGTATCTCAGTAAACTTCTATATAAGATTTTACACTTTCACTATCAATTACATATTGATATGTTAAATATAAATAAATATATTTATTGCCACAAAAGAAGAAAAAAAACTATGGCAAAGTTGAAAACAGAAAGAAGAAAGGAGGGACAGAGATAGCTGACCTGAGCTTGTGGGTGCTCACACACTCTGGAACGACAGCGAGGAAGTTGGCATAGGACTGACCTAGGCCCTCTGCATCTGGGTGACAGTTGTGTAGCTTGGTCTTCTGTAGGGTCCCTAGCCGTGGGAAGAGGACCTGTCCCTGATGCATGGGCTAGCTCTTTGGAACCTGTTCCCTATGGTGGGATGCCTTGTGCAGCCTTGATGCAACGAGGAAGAGCTTGGCCCTGCCTCACTTGATGTGCCATGCTTTGTTGATTCTCATGGGAGGGAGGCCTTTCCCCATCCGAATGGAGACAGAGGAGGAGGAGATGGAGAGGGTGGGATAGAAGGGAGATGGGGGGAGGGATCAGGAGTAGAGGAGGGAGGGGAAACTGAGTTTGGTTTGTAAAATAAATTTAAAATGATGAATAAATAAAAAAGAAGGAAGGAGGAAAGGAAGGAAGGAAAAAGAAAGAATTCACTCCGTGGCTGGCGTTACTCATAAGAAAACTAACATCACTGCATCCAACCCCACCCAGCCCCACCCCCACCCAAGCCCACCCAGCCCCACCTGTACCCCACCCTCAACGCTCCCTGAATTGAGGGCCATTATCAGTACTGGCACATATTATCTCCTGGTATTAGAGTCCTATCATGTTCACTTCCAAATCCAACATTTCCACTTACTTTTTTTCAATGTGTCTTTTTATTTTTAATTGACAAATAATAGTTGTACATCTTTATCAAGGATAGCCTCTTCTGGCCTCTGAGACAACTGCATGTGCATGCAATGTGCTCTGTTCTTGCCTGCTTTGTCTCCCCTTGTGTTGCGAACATGGTACATTATGTGCTATTTGATAGCAACCTCGCTTCTTACTTCTCTACAGTCTATGTTCACAGATTGTAGGAACTTTACCTGCTGTTGTTGTGTTAGAACAGGAAGTACCGTTTCATTCACATATCTGAGCTGATGGGAAGCACACTTACAGCATGGGGATGGGGGAGGGCTGCAAGTCTGTGAAGAGACACAGCTGCCTGGCATGATAGTTCCTTCCTTTGCACCCATGTGGGAGGCCAGCCTGCTGGGCTATGACCCTTTGGTTTCCTTAGGCTCATCTCTTCCTCACCTCCCTTCCTTCTCTGTCCCTCATGGCCTTCTGGCTGCAGGAATGTGGGGCTTTCACGACCGGGACCTGGTTTTGCGGAAAGCTCTCTATACCATGATGAGGACAGGTGCTGAGCGAGAAGCCCTGAAGCGGAGGTGGAGGTGGCAGCAGACACAGCAGAACAAGGAGGTTTGTACCCACCCCTGCTGGAGACAGGAGCCACGTCAGAAGCAGCCTCTGACTGTGCTATATAGTCCGGGGGAGCCTTGTTGCAACAGCACAGCCCAGGGGGACCACAGCACATTCCTACTTACACCCGCCATGCTGGTGTGCTTAGGAAAGAGCCTCCCTCCACTTTAACAGCGCCCCAGCACCAATCATGAATTATATAGTCACGCACTGATCTGAGAAGCCCTTGGCCCCTCAATCCAGAGGAAATCTCCGCAGCCCCTGGCCATGGTGACATTACCACTTTTCTCCACAAGAAGAATCTGCCTATATTGGGGGTAAAATGTCTTGATGGTCCTTTAAACTGTGCCTTGGTCAGCCCCAACCAGGTTCACCCAGGAGTGGCCTTGGTGATTAGAAGCTTCCCAACAGCTTTGAAATCAAGGGCCAGAACTTCTTAAACTACGGAAGAGTAACCATCAGGGGACACTAACAGATGTGTCCAGCTGGGTCCTAGTGGGGCTCAGGTCAAGCTGGGTGGATGGGTACTGTTGCCTTGGTGGGGGGGGGGGGGGGGTGAAGGCAGGCAACAGCGGCTGCCTCCTGAACCAGCTTCCCTTCGCGCCAGTCAGGGCTGGTGTACACTGAGGAGGAATGGGAGCGAGAGTGGACAGAGCTGCTAAAACTGGCCTCCAGCGAGCCTCGCACACACTTCAGCAAGAACGGCAGCGGCACGGGCGGTGGGTGAGTGCTGCCCTGCTCTCCATGGGTCTTCCGGAGCTCCTGGCCACTCAGGGCCTCAAAGAGCTTGGGGAGGAGGGTAAATGACCCTGCATGCTAGCCAGATAGCAGAAGACAGAGAGTGTACGTTATACATGAGGCGATATGGGAGGTGAGGGGAGGCTGGACACATGCACCCAAGCTCTCTACACATGAGTTCATGAGAGCTGCTCAGCCCTGTCTCCCTCAGGCTCCTCATACAACACAAACTGTAGTAACTAGGGGATTCAGGGCCTAGTCAGACCTGGAGGTGGTCTGTGACAGTGGCCATTGCTACAGCTGCCATTGCATACACAGGGCTGAAAAAAAAAACAAAAAAACACCAGCTACTGTTTATAGAGTTTTTCTTTAATCGACGTAGTGTGGGGTTTCAAGTCACACTGAAAGCAAGAAATCATCAAACCACCCAGTGCTTCCCCAATGGACTCCATGACCATTATGTGTGTTCTTAGTACAAAGGCCTTGCATGTTGTGTGCACTCAAGGAAAGCTTGCTCCTGCAGGCCAGCTCCAGCTCCACTGTGGAACAAAGAGCAGTCTGGACCAACAGGCACATTTGGCCATGGAATTTCAGAAGATGCATTCTTTGATTTTTGCTCTTTTGTCCTGAAGTAAAAGGTCCCAGCCCAGAAAATTTCTCTGCCAAAGCACGAAGAATGAACGCTGACACCAAGAACACAGATGTGCGTGTCTCCTGGCCAGTCTCAGGTTTGCAGGCCAGGAAAGCCTCTGGGCTCTCAACGCCTCACCACAGTGAGCCTGGTGCCCAGTGGGCCAGCCCTCTCAAGCTAGCCAGCATAGACATTCCATGTCAGTCCTGATAGTCCGGCCTGTGGCCAGGCAGACCTATGTTTGTACAGTGGAAGATTTGTTCCTGAAAACTTAGCTTTTATCAGTTCCATGCCCTCCAAGTCCCAGGTGTTCCTTCCAGTCCAGTGTTTCTTTCACTGTTGAACTTCCCACACTTGCCAAGGAGAAAACCAAATCTCTTCTGGGGAAGCACAGGTGGGAGAGAGGAGAATAGCGATCAGCATGCTAGTCTGTTTTCCATTGCTGTCACTCGGCGCTTCTGAAGGGAAGAAAGTGCATTGTACTGTTTAGGGGGATAAGAAAAAAGTGCATACGGTTCTTTTAGTGCTTCTATTTCTCAGTAGTTTGAATCCTCAGATGTGGAGCCTACAGATACAGAGATCTGTATGTTTTCGTGGGAAAGGTGTAAATATATGTGCATTTTCATGTGGACAGGCACATGGATGCATGCAGAAGCCCAAAATTAGTGTCTGGTGTCTTCCTCAGTCGCCCACTTCTTTGTTTATTGAGATACTTTCTCTTGCTGTACCTGGAGCTTACACACTTGGCTAGCCTTAGCTAGCCAGCTGGCCCTGGGAATCCCACATCTGTATCACAAGTGCTAGGATTACAGCAACCACCATGCCTACCTGCTTTCATGCTGGATTCTGAGGATCCTAACTCCAGCCCTCACAAGCACAATCACCGCACCTATCTGCCAAGCCAGAGCTATTTGGTTAAAGCAAAACGCGTTTTAGACATTCTTCTTCCACTCTCTTTTCTAAAACAAAAAAAAACCTCTATCTTCGAGCTATTCAGTGGACAAAGCAGGATAGGGTGTCTGCAGTGGGTAGGGAATGGGAGAGCACAAAGGACTGTAGCAAGTGCCAAGGCCAGACAGGGTGGAGAGGGAAAACTGAGGGTTGGCACTCTTGGGCATGGCAGCCAAGCTTACAGGCTAGGAGACAGCTTCAAATGAGTAAGAACGGTGGAATCATTCCAGGCATTTTCCCACTGTACAGGAGGAAGTTATAAGAAGCATGAATTTAATAAGGATTAGACTGGAAGTGAGAGGTCTAGTGAACTTAGCATGTCCCGTGGCCGCTGTGGTGGGTGACTCACAGGCACATAGAGAGGGCGGTAATACGTGAACATGGTCCATCTTCTTGTGCCAGGGAACAAGAAAGTAATCCAAAAGAATGGCAAGGAGATATCAGAAAAACACAGACCAAGCTGAAATAAGTGAAGAAGACCGAATTAAAGCATATTTGAGCGTCATAATATCACAAATGGATTATAAATCATTTAATAAAAGTATCAAACCAGAACTCCACAGTGCTATCAACAAGCTTGTGAAATAACAAGAGATGTGCAGGGGTTCAGAGTTCCCCTGTGGATTGTGTGTTAGTTACAGAGGTGACCTGAGCAGCTCTGTGAGGGTGTGGCTGGAAGAAGAGCCAGTGACCTAGGCCCCACCATTGGGAGGTCCATCTCCATATCCCACCACCTGAGAGGACACTCAAGGGTGACTTGGCAAACCCTAGTCTAACGTCATAGAGACCCAGGCTGAGAAAGGTCCACAAGCCACCTGCCCTGTACTCCTCAGCATCTCAGAAGTGCTGTGGTTATGGAAATACCAAGCAGCATAAAACATAAATACCAGCAGGATAAAGGGGATAGAAGAGACCTAAGAGAAAGCAGCTCGTGACCCTGAGCTTGGTCCTCCATCTTAAAGGTGTTGCCGGGACCACTGTGAGCAGGCCTTGATGGCTGTGTCCTGATGTGTCAAAGGTGGCCGTGTAAACAAGAAGCACTCTGACCCCTCTCAGAATAAAGACATGGAAGCCTAGAGAATAACTTGCAGATGGTTCTGTGTGACGTTTGATGACTTCTGACTGCTGCCACATTTTCAAGCATTAAATAAAGTTTGTTGGCCACAAAAGAAAAAGGCAAGAGAAAGGAAGGAAGAAGGGATGGAGAGAGGGAGGAAGGAAGGGAGGGAAGAGAGGGAGAAAGAGAAATCAAAGAAAGAAAAGAGAAAGAAAGAAAAGGAAGGAAGGAAGGAAAGAGAAGAAAGGAAGGAAAGAAAGAAAAGAAAGAAAGAGAAGGAAGGAAAGAAAGAAAGAGAAGGAAGGAAGGAAAGAAAGAAAGAGAAGGAAAGAAGGAAGGAAGGAAGAAAGAAAGAGAAATCAAAGAAAGAAAAGAGAAAGAAAGAAAAGGAAGGAAGGAAGGAAAGAGAAGAAAGGAAGGAAAGAAAGAAAAGAAAGAAAGAGAAGGAAGGAAAGAAAGAAAGAAAGAGAAGGAAGGAAGGAAAGAAAGAAAGAGAAGGAAAGAAGGAAGGAAGGAAGGAAGGAAGAAAGAAAGAAGAAAGAAACCATAATGTAGCATGGCATCTCCCCAAAGGCCTGGTGCATTTCTTAGGGTTTACAGCCTTTGTTCTAGGAGTGATGGAGAGAGTTGGTCCAGCACTCTGCACACAGAACTCATTCCCAGCCATCCCTGCTCCCTTGCTGTCTTTGGGGAACTGATTCCAGGAGCCCTAGGATACTGGAAACTATGCAAAGAGTCTGCCGCCTCCTGCTATACACTGTCATCACATCTAGGAGACTTACACACGGTCCCACCATCTAAGAGCTCTGGCTCTCTTCCCTTGGAGGTTGGCCCTGTTGTTGAGGGACACCTAGGTCACAGTCTTCTGCCCCAGTGTCTCACAGTCTGGATGACAGCGATTCTTGGGGTCTACTCTACCCACAAGGCAAGGCAGGAGCTTGGACCCAGGCTGCGGAAGCTTAGTGTACGGCTGTGCGTTCAGCCTCCTCCTCCCCTCAGGGTAGGATTCAGGCAGCTTCTTTATGACCTCTTCCCAGGAACTGTTCCTGGAAGGTTCCTCAGATCCTAATAAATAGGGTCCGGTGTTTGGGGGTGCTCAGTCCCTACTCCGAGTCCCTGCCCTTTGTGTTTCCCCACTCCAGTCTAGTCTCATGACAAGATCACTTTGTTTTATTTCCTAGTGTGGACAACTCTGAGGATCCTGTGTATGAAAGCCTGGAAGAGTTCCATGTCTTCGTCCTAGCCCACATACTGCGGAGACCCATTGTGGTGGTGGCAGACACCATGCTAAGAGACTCTGGTGGTGAAGGTAGGATCCTCAAGGAGCTGTATTTAGGGGTGGTCCAGAAAGGGTGACATCTACCTGTCCATAGGCAGAGTCATCGCGTCACTTTAAGACATGCACAAAGATAGCATTTCGTGCATTTCTTCTTCCTCCAGCACAGCACTGATCACCTGCCCTGCATGACAGCAGCAGGAGGCTATGAGGAATCTGGCCAAGCACCACAGACAGCACAGATCCCTATGAAAGCCCCAGACCCTGTTCCAGGAGTTCTGCAGGATAGTATAGTAGAGAGGAAAGGAAGGAGGGCTGAGTGTGGAGCCTCTGAAGGGTGGTGAAGAGTCAGGAACTGCAGGGGTAGCCAAGCTGCTGTTGTCTGGCCACTGAGAGCCTCACCCATGACCTCTTGGATGACCCCTCCCTCAGCACTTGATACAATCTCCCCCAGACGGATAAGTGCACTGAAGCCCCCAGTAAGGCTGGACAATACCCCCACCCAGGTTTAGCCAGAGACAGGGCGTAGACCCTCACATGACATCCCTAAGCCTGAAGCTCCTGCGAGTCCAAGGAGCTGTAGTAAGGATGTCTGAAACTCCACAGAGCTGGCCATGCTCTGAAGAGACAGAAAAGAGGGAGAACCAGGAGAGCTGTCACCAGGTCCCTTCCTCCCTCAGCAGACCCCACTCCCAGCACTTTCCCCAGTGTGGTTCATTTTCCGTTCTCCCTGGTGGCACCATTGCGATCCAGTTCACTCTTGCTGCCGTGTTTGTCACTTCCAAAGACGGCCTTGTCCACAACATCTCTTCACCGCGCGCGGCATGCCAGGGAAGTGACCCTGTGGCATTTCACTCGGCTTCACTTACATTTAAATCCACCCCATAATAGAAGTCGTGAATGTCCTGGAGCCCTGATGGCCAGGCATCAGTCGTCATGCCAGAGAAAGGCCAACATGGCCGTGGCTGCTCTGAGGGCAAGGGCTAGCAGAACGTGCATCCATGCATCCTGCCCAGCTCTCTTTGCCTGCTGCCGAGCACCAGAGCCAGCAGCCCTCTGGTCCATGTCCCTCCTCCTTATTACAGCCCTCAAAACAGGATGCTTATGTGGACAGAATCGTCCTGCCCAGTACAGACTGAGTGAAGGGGGCGGGCGATGACTGAGAGATCCTCAGAGACCACTCTAAAGGCCCCTGTGCTCCACACTAAGGAGGGTACAATTCCCACTCTGAGGCCAAAGGCAATGCTCTTCATGATCAAACCCTACCTGCTAGGCTGGGGGTTGGCCCAATGGGTAGATTACTTGCTTGGCATGCATGAAGCCCTGGTTCCATTGCAGCAATGCATAAAATGGGCATGGTGGTACATGCCTGTAATTCCAGCACTCAGGAAGTCAAGGGAGTTGGAAGTTCAAGGTCATCCTTAGCTACAAAGTAAGTCAGGTCTACAGGAGACCCTATTTCAGTGGGGAGGGGAGAAAAGAATCAGCTACTGCTTGGGGTTGGTGTTCAAAGAAGTGGTTTTCAGGCTTCTCTTCCCTTGCTCTTCATAAGAACATGAACAGGATAGTATCTCATCACACAAAGACAGCATCTCTACTTCTCATGTTCCACCTGATCTGCAGCTCAGTACCAGAGCTCTCTGACCACTCCCTTCTGTTCTGTAGAAGTTGTTTTTAATATGCACCAATCACACTCAGGGAATGTAGGTCCTGCCTGCGTGTGAACATTTCGGTGACAGCAGAAGAGAAAGGACAGCAGAGACTTCTAGACAAGCTAGCGGGCGATACTTCTGACCGTCTTGGGCAATGGTCTTAGCCCTGACCCTGCCGTTCTTCTGTCTATGGTGTGGCTCTCAGGAGCAGGCTACCCAGGCAGATCACCATGGAAACCTTCAGTCCTGGCCATGAGCACTAATTCTGTTCCCCTATTCCCTCTCCCTGCATCAACCCACTCCTCCCTTCCCCACTCTTGCCCTCCGACTTTCCCCGTGTCTGTGTCCACAGCATTTGCACCCATCCCATTTGGAGGGATCTACCTGCCCTTGGAGGTGCCTCCCAACAGGTGCCACTGCTCGCCCCTGGTTCTGGCTTATGATCAAGCGCACTTCTCGGCCCTTGTGTCCATGGAACAGAGAGACCAGCAGAGAGAACAAGGTTTGTCCAGCTCCCGAGACACAAGGGGTAAGGTGAGGTGGTAAGGTGGAGGGAGTGCTGGAGATGGGGTATGTGTGGACAACCGCCTAGCGCACATGCACACACAAGGAGCAGCTATGGTTTCTGCACAGCCATGCTCAGTGGGTATGCATATGTGTTGACTGGCAGTAGTGGCATTAGAGGTAATGGCCACCTAAACCACTCTGGAGATCAGTGATGATGCCACTGTGTGTACTTAGCTGTTGGCTTCCATCATGTGCATGTGTAAGTTTTCTATATCTTAATTAATTTTAGCTGACACATGTGTGTATTTCAGTGTGACTTATAGTGCACTAGTCAGGGAAAACGTATCTATGTCCTCCAACATTTAGTATAAGTAATTGTGTATTACTTCTGATGTTGAAAATGTTCAAAATCCTCACTTCTAACCTTTTGAAATACATGTTGTCTGTGTCCTTGGGGGGATTTTTAACTGTAAAACTAATTATTGCTAATGTTGTGTGTGGATTTATAGATGGATGCAATCCACCTCAGATGGATTTGGAAAACAAAATCCCTTCAGGGCAAGTATTGACAAGCTGTGGCCCACCACTTAGTTTGCAGATAGTTTTAGTGGAACACAGCTAGACTCATTGCCTGACATTTTCCCCGTGGCTGCTTTGCAGTGGGGCAGCAGAATGTGTGTATGTGGCCTGCTGGCCTCCGACATTAATTTGTTGGCACTGTTCTTGAAAGGCTTGCCCACTCTTGCTGTACACTAGTAAGCTTTTGAACCAAAAAGTCAACACTTTATCTGAAGGTCACTATAGCCAGGTTTCCTGCAAGAAGCCATCTCAGTGCTGATGGGTTGATGGGACCAGCGCCACCTGCTGCACGGTGCACAGTTACAGCTAGCAGTAATACAGGTGGGGCTGACTCACTGATGGAGAAGAGGACTTTGTTGTGCTCTGAGTTAGCTGTGATGGATATGTGAGTGTCTGGGTAGAAAGGACAGGTTTTAGTATTACCACTGTTGTTTTCAGTACAGAATGAGATTTTCCTCAGGAGACTGAAGGCCAAGGAAATAGCATGTATTCTAGGGTTTGGGCCCTTGAATGTGGTTCTAAGAAACCCCAAGTGGTTGGTTCAGAGCTCCCACAAGCCAGAAGCTCAGGGTGACCATTCGGACTCCTTACCCTGAGTGTATCAGTGCCTCCCCATCCTGCCCCCTCCTGTGGACAGCTGGCAAGGGAGGACACAGACAGAGCCCTACCTCCTCCAGCCCCTATAAAGCACCCCTTCCACATATGTTCCTGGACTGACAGCCAGAGAGTCAGCAGGCCTGTGGGATGGACTCTGGATGATGCAGGGTGTAGAAAGATCCCCGGTCCCTTTCCCAAAAGCCAAATCAAAGTGCAGCTCACAGGCTGATGTAACTAGGAGTGGGTCTAGGCAGCCAAGGTAGCAGACTGCTGTTCCTCATCCTTCCTCATAACTCACTCACTGCCTCTGGCCACCAGAAGAGGCTCTCCAGCATCAAATCCTGGGGTGAGCATGCTTTTCCCTCATCTCTCTGCTTCCAGAGGTGCCTACCTCCTTCCCTAGGGTTTTGTTTGGTTTCTTTTTTGGCATGGTCTGAAATGAGGCTTTCCTGTGTTATCCAGAATGGCCTCCAAAGTTCTGGACTCAAGGGGTCTTCCTGCATCAGCTTTCCAGGTTACTGAAACCATATGTGCATGAAGGCCAGCACCTTTAATACTGTAGCACTTGCTACAAGCTGTGACTTGGGACAGGGCTGGGACTCTTGTCAAGCCCCTGAGGTCAACATCCAGTTCACAGTCTCAGGTCCCCCAAAGGTCTTCCAGAAGTCTCCCTGGTGGAAGGTACTATCACATCCCTCTAGGAAACACGGCAAAGTACAGGTTTCTCCCTGGGGGACGAGCTTTTTCCAAAGTCTGGGTTCTGGCCCCAGAGCACAGTACAGGTAACTCTTGGCTTCTGTGGGTGCTGGGTCTCTCCATAGTCCCTGTGGGTCCTGCCTCCATGGCTACTATGTGCCTAGAACTGAGCATTCCCACTACCAGTCCTTACAAGCTGGGCTAGAGCCCTAGAGGGGGTGCAGGCTCTCTAGAGGATATATCTTCGTATACCAACAGTGGCTCTGCCATCACCCAAGGGAGACACTGAAGAGATGCCTGTGGGTAGCTGACATCCTGGATGACCCAAAGCCTGACTACATTGTCCCTGTGTGTGGCCTTCCCCACCACAGGCACTCACCAGGGCTGTGGGTGGGACTTCAGCAGCCTCAGACACAGCAGCAAAGCTAGGGCTGATATCACTGTCCTTCTCCGTGACTTCACGCATAGATTCACTGTGCTGTGGACCGTAGGCATGCAATTCATTGTCTTTTCTTATTAAGCTGAACACCTTCCCCTTTCTGCTTCAAGGAAGTACTTCCTGGCTTCTCCTTTTGGGTCTCAACTCCGTCATTGCCGACTTGTGCCGTGGGGCCCGTGGATAAGGGGTGGTGTGAAAGTACAGAGATCCCTGAGCATCAGTCGACAGCCCAGGCAGCTGCGGACAGCAGACAGCTAAAGATAGCATCTACTGTGAGGGCTCGGTGCACAAAGGGACGCTGCACCTGCATGGGAGCTGTGACCTTCACATGGCTCAGAACAGTGTGCTCAGCTTCATCTTGTGAACCGGTGATTTCTGGGATTTTTCTATGTACTATTTTAAATCATGGTCAGCTATAGTGAAACTACAGAAGCTTCAGATGAAGGAGTTCCTGCCTCACTGTTCCATGCCCTATGCCACCCACACCCTGACCTGGGGCAGCAGCTGCTGAGCTGTGAAATGCAGAGGATGGCTGTAAACCGCGTCCTGTGTCCCTGTAAACCGCGTCCTGTGTCCCTGTAAACCGCGTCCTGTGTCCCTGTGAACCGAGTCCTGTGTCCCTATGAACCGAGTCCTGTGTCCCTGTGAACCGAGTCCTGTGTCCCTGTGAACCGAGTATCAGAACGAGTCTGTATTTGTCACTAACATCTTTAAAGAGATTAAAACTCGAGTAGTCCTTTACCCAGCACCTCTCTACGGAGAGGAAATTGTTGGTGTCGTGATGCACACCTTAATCCCCAGCACATGGGAACTGAGCAGGAAGTTAGAAAAGCCTGGGTTTCATAGAGAAACCCTGAGAGAAAGAGAGACAGAGAGAGACAGAGAGAGAGAGAGAGAGAGAGAGAGAGAGAGAGATAGATTTAGGTTTCACAAAACCATGTGAGAATACAGAGGTAGGGGGCATTCCCAAGCCAAGGAGAAGGTCAGAAGAATGTGCCCCTGACGAAGATTAGATCCCAGAGTGTAGAGTTTACACCTCTGCTCTTTGAGCCCCAGGCTGTGGTGGTGTTGAAAGGGCCATGGACTTTAATAAAACAGTTCTTCAAGCAAATAAGAGTGGATGAGTTTAGCCAAAAATTCACAAAACTATAAAGCCAAGCCACTCATTACCTCTTACACATTACCAAGTTTCAACTTCCTGCTTGAGATGCAGCCTTGGCCCACTCTGATATACAGAGTGAGCTCCAGGACATCCAAAAACAACAAGAACAAAATCATAGCTGATTCTTCGTCCACAACTGACCAAAAAGATTCTTAATTCAATCATATCATATGAATGACCTTTACAAACTCTTGACTTCCCTCGAAACTTTGTAAGTCAGGCCTCCATCGCCTGCATTTCTTTCCCAACACTCTTCTCTTCCAAATTCCCATAGAGTCACCCATTAAGTTCTGAGTTCCAAACGCTTCCATAGTCCTCCCCAGAATAGCATGATCAGGATCCTGGTACCAATTTCTGCCCTTGTTTGTTTTCTTTTTCTTTTTCTTTTTTTTTTTATTTTTCGAGACAGAGTTTCTCCGTAGCTTTTGGTTCCTGTCCTGGATCTAGCTCTTGTAGACCAGGCTGGCCTCGAACTCACAGAGATCCGCCTGCCTCTGCCTCCCGAGTGCTGGGATTAAAGGCGTGCGCCACCACCGCCCGGCTCCTTGTTTGTTTTCTACTGCTGTGAAAGACACCAAAACCAAATGGTGGAGGGCAGAGCTTTTTTGTTTGCTTGGGTTTAGGGTTGGTTTGGTTTTCTGCTGTTGTTGTTGTTTGCTTGTTTTGACCTACACATGGTGGTAACGATCCATCATTGAAGGAAATCACAACAGAACTCAAGGCAAGAGCCTGGAGGTAGAAACTAAAACAGAGACCATATAGGAATGCTGCTTACTGGCACGCTTGCCATCACCTTCTCGGCTTTCTTTTTTTTTTTTTAACTTATTTTTATCTTATGTGCATTGGTGTTTTGTAGTGGGTATTGGGTCCCCTGGAACTGGAATTACAAACAGTTTTAAGTTGTCACGTGGGTGCTGGGAATTGAACCCAGGTCCTTTGGAAGAACAGTCGGCACTCTAACCACTGAATAATCTCTCCAGCACCCTCAGTTTGCTTTCTTATACTACCCGGGAACATCCCCCAGGAGTAGCACGGTCTATGGACTGGGGCCTCCAGTCCTCCCACATCAATTGGTTATCAAGACAATGCATCACAGACTTCTCTACAGGCCAGCGTAATGGGGCATTTTCTCAACCGAGAAATCTCTTCCCACATGACCCTAGCTTGTGCCAAGTTAACAAAAAGCTAACACACAGGTCACTTATCCAAATAGCACTGGTGTGTGATAAGCCAATGTGCAGTGCGGTCTGTGGGTGCTCAGACCCTGTGTGGCATTGGCACACCAGAGTGCCTCCATCACTGATGGAGGGTTCCATGTGTCCTGAGCGATGGTCTCTATCATCTAACAGGGTCTGTCCGCATTTGATAGCACCATTTCCCAAAATACCAACCAATCGCAGTCAGAGCGCCCAACAAGACACCTGCAGCCTTATCCTGGCTCACTGCAGCCTCTATGAGTGCAGATGGGTCTGGGCTAGGACAGCAGGTCCCTCCACACAGGGCTCTGGTGGATCTCATTGAATGAACTTTCCATGTACAGGTGGGTTTCTGAGTCCTTTCCAGGGGTGACTGCCTAGCCTTTGCCATTTCCCATCCCCCGCTTCACAGAGGAGGAAAGTGAGGAGGGAGAGCCCATCTCCAGGGAACGGCCACAGTCACAAAGCGAGGTGGTGGCAGATGAGTAGGTGGATGCTATGCCTTCTGAAAGCTGCAAAGGCAGCTGTCCAGTGATTGTGTGGTGTGCAAGCACTAGACAGAGGCCATAGGAAGTGGTGTCTCAGGTCAGCACTTGCACAGACTCACACGACACTTTGACCTGGTGATGCAGGAGCCTTCAGTGTTAGGGAAGGGGAGCCCGGGCTGCACTGCTCACAAGGGCTACTGCCGGCAGTATGTGAGGTGATTGCCAAGATACAGCTCTTGAGTGAAAACAGCTGGGGTGCACTGAAGTCAAGACACCCTAGAGTGTCCTCATGCCTTTCCCGGGGGGAGGGGGTCAGGTCACAGATGGTGGGGGGGCTAAGGGCAGCAAGGGCAGCTTCAGACTCTGGGAGAAGGCCTGCACACAGTCAGGTTTACAATTCGGTTATTGCAACAGAAAGTCAACACAAACAACTGAAAAGGAATTTCACCAAAAGCAACTGGCAACCTTGTCTCTTAGACAATACACATTTATAAAAATGGGGCATCCAGAGATCTGGGGGAGCCACTAAGTCCATAAGTACAGCTACAGTTGATGTGTAACCCACAATAAAAGCAAACATTAATGTGTATCAGTATTCCCCGGGCCAAATAAATTAGGAAGTTTTTATGATAGTGGGACCCAAACCCAGGGCCTAGTGTCCTGCTGCTGAGCTGCTCCTCCAGCCCTGATCACATGATGGTGTGACTTCCAGGACCTTCAACAATAAGTGCTTTGTCCTACAGGAGTGGTTACCAATCAGTAAAACCAATTCTTTTCCAGTAGCTACTTGCGTTCACATGAGAATTAGTATATATTTGCTTAAATGAAATTTTATAGTAGGATATTATTAATGCAATATTCTAAACCAAGGTTATTTTCACTCAGATGCCTTTCTCTATCGTATACCAGTCAGACTGGCCTGTGGGCACAGCAGTGCACCCAATACCTGGGAGCAGGTTTGTGGGGCGAGGGTCTGTGATGGGAAAGAGGCTGTAGAAGCCAGGATGTACCCAAGACATGTGGCCATGCTGTCCCTGCACTTAGTGTCCCTTTCTTTAGCAGCATCCTTAGTTTACCAGTTGCCATGGGGAGTCTCGGGAGGAGGAGGTGGGCTGCCAGACCTCCCGAGACACCTCTTCCTGCTGCTGCTCTTTGGATCTCAGAACATGCACACTGAGCAGTGCCAAGTCTTCCAGGCACACCACCACCATGCCCTGCATGGCTGGCCGTTTTAACCCAACCAGGGGCAGCAAGGAAAAGACAGGCACTTAAGAAATGACAGACATGCCGGGTGGTGGTGGCACACGCCTTGAATCCCAGCACTCGGGAGGCAGAGGCAGGCGGATCTCTGTGAGTTCGAGACCAGCCTGGTCTACAAGAGCTAGTTCCAGGACAGGCTCCAAAACCACAGAGAAACCCTGTCTCAAAAAACCAAAAAAAAAAGAAAAGAAAAGAAAAGAAATGACAGACACATACACAGAAGAGTTGGGATCAGGTTGGCTGTATGCGCTTTGATGAAGCCATACCAATCACACTATAATTGAAACCTCCCTGTGATTGTTATGTACAGAATGGGCTAGGACACCACAGGAAGTGTCCGTAGGCCAGCAGTCTCCAGCTGTAAGCATCAGGGAGGAGGAAGCTGCAGTTGCCTGGAAACATTTGTACTTACATACACTGACCAACCATTTGTCAAGATTAGTGCTTGGACCAAAGGAAGGTGTTGCCATTCCAAGCCTGACCTAAGAATGGTCTTGTTGATTTCTCGTGGGTCTGAGGCACTGGTCCTCGACATTGCTGTGCCCAGTCATTAGGACATTCACCTGATCTTTATCCATTTACTCGTGACTTCCTCTCCTCCCCACACTCCGCCAACACCTGATGGAGGAAGAGGAGGAAGAGCCAGGGTGAGGGCTCCTGGACTTTCAGTTTACAGCCCAGGCTGTCACATTTGGCACACTTGACTCTTGACCAACACACTTCACAAGAGATTAAAAGGAGGCCAGGGGTTATAGACAAACTTAATGGCTATAGGGCCCTCTACCAGGTTGCATACGGGGAGCAAGCCCTTGAGCCCTTGAGTGCTACTGTCTGCCTACATCTTGACTCTGGATATCTAGCCCCCAGGACTGAGAGGAAAATCACTCAGTTGCTAACTGGCAACCTAGACTATGGTGTTCTGTCCCAATAGCTCAAGTTAGTGGCACTGGGAACCATACAGGAATGAAAGAACCTGGGTTGCTGAAGATTCCCTAACGATAGTCTCCCTCTCCCGGCTCAGGTAAAAGCAGGTAGCGCCACTCGTACCTGCATATGCACATGCTCAGTGCATGCCTCAGTTACTATGGTGGCTAAAGGTTCTCCCCATCCTCCAGGCTGCATGTTGGGCTTCTGGGCCCCTGGGGATTAGAGTAGGGTGCCAACCAATAAATGGGCAGACACTCTGTAAGCTACTGAGACAGGGGTGGCTGAGTGACAGCAAAAACAGGTTTGCCTTTCTCCTTTCATGTTTGTTAGCGGGGCAGAACACTCCCCCATCCCTAGCTCACTTTCTGCTGGTCCCATCACATCCAGCTACAGTCTGAAAATATTAAATGGAACATTCCAGAAATCAACAGAGACCACATTCCCATTGTTTTTTTTTTATTTCAGTGTATTTTATGCAGTTCTATTTCATTAGTTACTGCTGTGAATTTCTTACTGTGATTGATTTATAAATTAAACTCCACCACTGGTATGTTCATATAGGTAAAAGTACAGTATACGAGAGGGAGAGAGCCACTGTCCAGACAACCACTGGGGCCATCAGATGTGGGTAAGGTGGCTAGCGCATTTGCTGTGTGCACCTGGAAACAATTTAGAAGTTTGCTTATGTCTGTGTTTGGAGAGCTGGTCTCTTTATCATTATGTAAATGGTTCTCTTCTTTGTAACCGTTTTTTCTGGACTCTTCTTTGTCTAATATTAGGTGGCTCCCCCTAGCTCTTTGTTTCAGAGAGTGTCTTTTACCTATGTCTTTAGATTCATAACTATTGTAGGGAGTGCAGACTTGAGGCTTGTTTCGCTTTAATCCCAATCTAACAATTTTATCCTTTGACAGTGTTGACACTGTTTGCATGTGATTATATGAATGACTCGGATCGGTGAAAGCCCACCATCTCTGCTAGTCTTTTCTCCTCGTTCCGTCTGGTTTTGGTTTCTCACCTGTCGTCCTATCCTGAATTGATGGTGGTACTTAATGACTATTTGCCCGGATTATTTACCTACTAGTGTTTATCTTACCTGGGGTTTACGGACAGAATCGTTAAGGAGAGCCTCACACTCTCTGCACTCCTTCCTTCCCCTCACCGTGGACAAGGTACAGCACAGCTCTCTTGGCTGTCCAGATCTGGTTATCTCAGAAGTGCTAAAAAGGAGAGAAAAGGGAATTTTATCTTCACCTTCATTTATTCCATTTCCATCACTCTGAGTAAATTCAAGTCACTGCTGGTGTCCCCTTCCACTATCCAGTGTAGATCAGCAGGCAGTGAACGGCTCCTTTGGGCTTGAGAAAGCCTTGGATGGCCCTTGCGTCTCAGAGCTCTCTTAGAGGCAGAATTAGCAGATTTTTCTCATCCCTTTAAATGATGCCGCCTGCTATCTTCTGCTTTCTCCGTTTACCCTGATCTATGTGCTGCAATCTTACTTCCTTTCTCTGTATCTAACTTGTCTTTCTTCTTTGCCTTTGCTTTCAGAAGCTACGGGTGCTGTGGGAAGGGATGGTTTTGTTGTTGTGTTGCTGTTATTCATTTTCCCTAGTAATATTCTCATGGTTTTCCTGATCTGTGGTGGTTTCGTTCGCTTGCTCTGTGTGTGTCTGTGTGTGTATGTGTATCTGTGTTTGCATGCACGTGTGTGTATGTGTGTGCGTGTGTGTATCTGTGTGCGTGCGTCTTTGTGTGTACATGCGTGTGTGTGCATGTGTGTGTGTATCTGTGCGTGTGTGTGCATGCGTGCGTGTGTCTGTGTTTATGTGCGTGTTGTGCGTGTGTATCTGTGTGTGTGTGTATCTGTGTGTGTGTGTATCTGTGTGTGATATTTTCTCTACCTCTCTCTCATCCCTCTGGAGTGACTCTAACACAGCCTTCAGCTGAGTTTGCTGACCTGCGGCTCATGGGTGTCCCTGCCTCCTACCCAACCTTTTCTACTTTGTATAACAGCTTGGCTGATTCCGACTGTCCCATCCTGAGGCCCACAGATTCCTTGCTTGCCTGTGGATCTCTTGAAGCTGTTCTTCATCTCAGTTGTAGTTTGCTGTGGGTTTTGTTTTGTCTGTTACTATTGTTTTATTTCTGTTTTCCTTTTGAAACTTTATTTCTTCTCTCCTCTAAAATCGGACACCAAACCCTTTCTTTTCTATCAGTTTCTATCATCAATCAGCAATTTTACTCTTAATGCCCAATAGTTTCAACACGTCCATTGTATCTCAGTCGGTACTTCTTGTGGTTTCAGGCGCCCACTGGGGATCTTGGGGTGCAAATAAAGGAGAGTGAGCTGCACTTGCTTTAATGCTGTGAAGTACTGTAAGAAGCATGCATACATGTAGTGGCACTGTCTGTTTAGAGAAATAGCCCCTTTATCATTGTCTCGAGTATCATGGCTTTCATAAAACAGGTCAGGCAAAAGATAACAAAGTGGTGTCTTTAAAGACTGAAAGAAAGTCTGCCAGTCTCAAATTCTGTATCTACTACAAAAGCCCCACAACGTGCAGGAAAAATGCAGACTCGTCGAACAAAACAAAGTAGCTTCACAATGCACGCCCAGCGTCACGACTGCACACCCATGTTAGTCCTGTGCTTTCAGCTCCGTGCCTTGTCAACACACGCGAGTGCCCGCGACCTCTCTCCGGTGCAGGCTTCCTGCTGAAAGTCAGTCATTGTTCTTCTAAGACAAGAAAGACTTGGGAAATCACTTCATTCCCAGAAACGGGCACATTCTGTTTCTCTTTAGTGCGCATGCCGGAATCCGTCAGGAAACAGAGACATAGTGCTTGAATAAGACACCTGTTTAAGCACAATACCAGAGAACACTGTCCTCATCGCACCCCAACTTTGTGTACCTGCGCTCTGCAGCTTACACTCCTGCTCCTCCGTGGAGAGAAGAGAGCAGGGAACACTTTCAGGGAATGTATTTCCGTCATATTCACGGGGAGGGTTAGGGCGCACCTGTGTACTCAGGCTTGCAAGCACCAAAGGTCATTGTTGTGTCTCCCTCAGTCACTCAGCACCTTGGCTTTGGAGACATGGTCTATTGCAGAACCTGGAGCTTGTTGATTTCGTTGTTACCGTCCAGCAAGCCCCAGGGATTTCCTCCTGTCTGTCTCCCCAGCACTGGGATTACAGACATATATGTCCACACCCAACCTTTACATAGGTGCTGGCTATTAACCCCCACGTTGGCATGGCCATTCCTCCAGCCCCTCACACAGATTTTTTTGTGAATACCATGCTGGCTCGGTCCTGTAGACAGGAGCTTATTGGATCCCTTCTCTTCCCTGGAGGAAGGGTCTGCACAGCTTCAGTGGCTTGCATTCTTTTTTCATGAGTGCAACCCTTTTAGCTAAGTTCTTCCTACTTGGGTCTGAGTCAACCCCTCCTAGCTGTCTCCATCTTCCCTTGGAAGCCTCTTTCTTTCCTTAGAATTTGAGACACTTATATCCGCTGTGGTGTCAGTTCAGGGGTTGGTTAAAGACAAACTGTGAATTTGCAGCTTTATCGTTGTAATAGCAAACATCTCAAACAGAAATACCCATTGTGTTCCATAAAATGAAAATTCCAAATCTTCATTGGCTAGTTGGAAATACCGTCAGTCGGTTTACAGGCTAAAAGTCAGAAAGAACTCTTTCCAAAACAGAAAAGTAAATCCTCTTGGACCTATTTTGAAAGCCTTTGCTATTCCTTACATCTGCCACCAGGTGGTGCTCTGCCCCGCAGCCAAGCGTCTTCCTGGTTCAATAACAATTTTCCATGTACATGTGACAGGAATGGAGTGCAGTGGAAGCACATGCAGAGGATCTCTTTTGAAGTGTCCCTGGATGTACCTTCCCTCAGCCCTCAAACAGGCTGAGCCGTAGGTCCCCAGCCCCTCACTCAGGTTGACAGGCTGTCAGGCTTTTTCCTGTGGATAGGCTGGGGAACCCAGTCCAGCCCATCTGCCGAGGGTAAGAATGCCCAGGCACCCTGTAACAGGGGGGTAAGAATGATGGGGGTGTCCTAGTTAGGTAATGTATCAGAAACAAAACAAAACCATAGCGACTTACAACAGACAGGGTGGGCTCCCAAGTAAACAATCCGCTAACAGAGGTTCTGATTAGCAGGCAATTCTTCCTGGGGTTCAAGAGCCTGCTCCAGCCGCCTCATACTTATAGTCCTCCTGTCTTTACAGGAGACATGGGCAGAGAGGGAGAAGCCCCCAGTCCTGGCCGTAGTCCCCAGATCTTACCACAGTACTCTACTCAAGGCCTATATATTCAGCATGCAAACGCCCCCAGGGCTAAGAGGATGAAAGTACAGTCACAGCTGGCAGGCGGTTCTCCAGCCAACGCTGCCCCATGAAGGGGTAGCCAGACGAACCCAGAATGCCCAAATTATACCCACAGGAACTGATTCTGATAGCTTATTATTGTCTAGAGGAATCTTTCCCAAAATCCCTTGATTTCAAGATCCACAAGGAGGCATATTTACAATGTAGTCCTCCATCCTCACTCAGGACCCATGGGTTGGCTGGCCCTCTGCATGCAGGAGTGCAGAGCCCCAGGAGTCTGGGAAGCAGTGTTGGTAAGGAGTGCTTCTGCTGCCCCTAGACACTGATGAGAAGCCAGGCTAAGGCCTCAATGTTTGTGACCTATAGACGTCACCCAACAGAGACCTGTTTCTGAGCTAGCCCAGAAGCCCACTGTGCAGCTCAGCTGAGAAAAGGGAGGCCACTTCAAAGCAGAAGCTGAGATGCCACCGCCTCCTCCCCCATCAGACCCTGCCTGCACTGCCCCATCCCTGGCCACACAGAGTGAAACCCCCTAAGCCGGCCCATAATCAGCAAAACTGCCTTTCTTTTAAGATAGAGATTGCGCCGACAATCTCCTTTAGCAACACTAGAGGGTAGCATTGAGTCCAGTTTCAGACTTCCCGGTATTGGCTCCTGGATTTTCTGTTTTGTTTGCCTTTTTGTTCCTGCCATGGCACTGCATGGTATGACTCATGAGCTATGGCAAGCAAAGGAACAAAGCAGCTGCCAGATGCCCTGGGCTGGGCTTGTCGGCTGTGGTGGAGACCCCAGAGGGGTGGGGCGTTCTAAGTGGAGTGATACAGAGGAGACTGGTACTCATTTGAAGGTGAAATTGGGAAATCATCTCCCTACTTCTTCCTGTTCAAGATTCCTGGCAACACCCTTAGGAGAAGGCAGATGTGACACTAAGGATTCCATTTTCTGGGTACCCGGGACCCCTCAGGAACTCTTACCAGATTCCAGTACATCTGTAGATCCCACTCCTAGCACCCCTGATCTTCCGTCCATATGCTGTGGGGTGAACCAACTCCTGAGAAACAGCAGGCCAGAGCCCCACCTAGTCACCACCTCCACAGAGGGCTCCCTCTCTGCTCACCTTTTAAACAGGCGGTGGCCCAGCGCTGCCTTCTGTGGGGTTGCCTGCCTCTGTGTCCTGCGTAGGTAAGCCCCCTGTGAGCAGGCTCAGGGGCTCTGCAGCCCCACCCCACCCCAGTCTTGCTGCAGTAGAACTCACCTCTCCTGACTTACAAACTCTGCTGGTCCCCGAGATGAAATGGAGGCAAGAGGCAGGCCACTAGCAAAATGGCCTCCTCCGTACACCTCAACAGGCTGGGTCTTTGCTGGGAAGTAACAGAAGCAGTCGTGGGTTTTTTGTGATTTGTTTTTTCATCCTGACATGCAGAGGGGGTCCCTGTCCTATTAACAGAAAGAGACCCAGGCAGTCCAGGTGCTGCCTCCACAGGCTCTTCATCTACATCATGAGAAATTGTTAACGTGGGCGACTTTGAAACCCATGCTCTTAACACTCCTGGTACAGAAGTTCTGCGTCTACTTTGTCTCCACGGGATTGCCTGTCACCCGGACAGCTAGCCTTGATTTTCCCTTACAGAGCTCTGAGTTCTGCTGAGGCCCCCAGCCTCCTTGCAGGCGGGTGAGCTGCCTGCCACCATTGCGTTCTCTCTCTTCTGTTTCAGCCGTCATCCCCCTGACGGATTCGGAGCACAAGCTGCTGCCCTTGCATTTTGCAGTGGACCCCGGAAAGGACTGGGAGTGGGGAAAAGATGATAACGACAATGCCCGGCTAGCCCAGTAAGACGTGCTCCACAGTCCGGTCCCTAACCCAGCGGTCCGTGGGAGAGCCGTAGTGGGGCTCCTGTTGGGGGTGGGGATAGAGGGCAGAGAGAGGATTGCGTGGGCAGACGAGGGAGCTCATGCCACCTCCGGAGCTTTTCACTCAGCCTTCTTTTGTCAGCCTCATCCTGTCTCTAGAAGCCAAGCTGAACCTTCTACACAGCTACATGAATGTGACATGGATCCGCATCCCCTCTGAGACCCGGGTGAGCCTCACGTGCACGGGAGCCCCAACTTTGTGATGGGGGGAGGGGAGTAGGGTGGCCGCTCTACGCTGTGTGGGATATGAAGCACTTCCCCTTCCGAATGCCCATAGACAGGGAGGGGGCACGCTGGCCACCCGCATCTGCGGCCCAGAGGCCCCACCCCCTCATGTGCCAGGTTCCCAGTCCAACCAAAGACTTCCTGTTGGTGCAAGTGGGGGCGTGTTGTGTGTGCGTGTGTGTGTACACGCAGTGTGTGTGTACATGCAAGTGTGCGCCCCAGTTAGGTTTTTCCCTCTCTTATTTTGCACAGCAGGAGAGGAATAACACGCCCACTCACAAAGCAAACCGTAGGCAAGTCATAACACAAAACTATCTCTGCTGAGATCGGAACAAGATGTGCTGCGGCAGAGCGGAATTAATTATAACTGTGTGTGGATCCTTAGAAGAGCTGGGGAACCGACAGCGCTAGTCCTCAGCATGCCCCGCCCCTCCCCTCCCCGAGGCGGAGGTGGCCGCAGGTGAAGTTGGCAGAAGGCAAAGAGCCGCCCACCCAACGCCTGCCGCAGGGGAACTATTGGGCGGCCCCTGTTTGCAGATGCTGAGAGATTTCGTTTTAAGTCTGTGACTGATGTTTTCATAATCTGGGGAGGGAACTCCCAGGGAAAGGGATTTGTGAAAATTGCTTACAAATAATTGGTCCTCCCTGACATCCGTTTACTTAAGCATCCAGCAGGCTCTAAGAACTGAAAGGAGGGACCCTGCTGAGTGGTGTCTTCCCCACTGCTCTGACGGCTCACTTCCCCTTCACCGGCATATCATCTAGTAGGGCGCCCCCGCGTGGCTCTGATTCGCCGTGTTTCTGAGGGCACAAGGGACAACCAGGCAGTGGCAATTCCTGCCTCTCCCGTGTTGGAAGATGCCACTGTGCCCCAGGATGTTGCTCTCTAAAACCCACATGTTATGCAAGGGCAGCAGCTGAGAACCATCAGAACCTTGCAGCCGGGCACATCTCTGCCCTACATGAACAGTGTGTTTGGCCAGGCCTGGGGTGGGGGATGGGGGTGGGGTCCTGTTCTGCCAGCCTAACCAGGGTCATCCTCCTGGAACCTGTTTGAGGAAAGGACAAAAATAAAGTGAGAAGCAACCGCTTTTCCAGTCTCCTCTGGAGACTTGTAACTTGTCTTGGCTGGATAAAAAGAATAATGGGGCCAGACAAAGAATGTGGTTTGGGGCAAGGTGTCTAGTCCCTGCTTAGAGTAAGCAGGTGAAACATCTGTGTGGGAGAGACGATGTCTGACCTGGTGGCCTCTACCATTACAGAGATCTGGAACCTGCTTCTAGTGGTGCCGATAGACCATGAAAGAAGGTCGTAGTGTGGACCTGGTGTCTCTCTATAAAAAATTCTGAGGCTCTGGAACTCCACTCCAGGGTGCTCATGGGCGCTCTGACTCTACTCATCCACTGGGGATTCTAGACTAGTTATCTATCTATGAATCCCAAGATAAAGTTTGTGCTCGCTCCCTAAAAGGATGGTACCTTTGCCAACACCAGAACCTGCCTTCCACCCTTGCAAAGATCAGGGCTCTGTGTAAGATAAACATCCCTCTCTAGTAGACCCCACCGCCCCCCACCGTCACCCCCCAACAGCAGAGAACTCAAAAAAAAAAAAAACCCGCCAGTGTCCTGGTCTCAGCTCCACCTGTGTTCTTGGGGCCTACACGGTGACACCTCTTTTATAACGGCCTTCCTTTCCTGCCTTGCCTCTTCACAGGCTCCCCTTGCACAGCCAGAGTCTCCAACAGCCTCAGCAGGGGAGGATGTGCAGTCCCTGGCCGAATCACTGGACTCGGACCGCGATTCTGTGTGCAGCAATTCCAACAGCAATAATGGCAAGAACGGTAAGGACAAGGAGAAGGAGAAACAGCGCAAGGACAAGGACAAGACGCGCGCAGACTCCGTGGCCAACAAGCTGGGCAGCTTCAGCAAGACGCTGGGCATCAAGCTGAAGAAAAACATGGGCGGGCTGGGCGGCCTGGTGCACGGTAAGATGGGTCGCGCCAACTCTGCCAATGGCAAGAACGGCGACAGCGCCGAGCGCAGCAAGGAGAAGAAGTCCAAGTCGCGCAAGGGCAGTAAAGAGGAATCGGGAGCGTCGGCTAGCACCTCGCCCTCGGAGAAGACCACGCCGTCGCCCACGGACAAGGCGGCGGGAACGTCGCCGGCCGACAAGGGCAGCGGGCCAAGGGGCGACGCCTGGAAGTACAGCACAGACGTGAAGCTGAGCCTCAACATCCTGCGCGCCGCCATGCAGGGCGAGCGCAAGTTCATCTTCGCTGGCCTGCTGCTCACCAGCCACCGGCACCAGTTCCACGAGGAGATGATCGGCTACTACCTGACCAGCGCGCAGGAGCGCTTTAGCGCGGAGCAGGAGCAGCGGCGCCGGGACGCTGCGGCAGCAGCCAGCACCACGGCCACGGCCACCGCCACAACCAAGCGACCGGCGCGCAGGCCCGAGGCTGAGGGGACGCCAGGCCCGGAGCGCGCCTCGCCGGGCCCGCCAGCCGCGCCGCCCACGCAGCTGGTGCTCAAGCTCAAGGAGCGGCCGAGTCCGGGATCTAGCGCGAACGCGCGGGCGACGCGGGCGGCGGGTGGTGCGGCGTCCCCGGGCCCGGGCGGTGGCGCGCGTCGCGCGGGAACCGGCACGGGTGGCCCGGCCCCAGGCCGCAGCCCACCCGCGCCCGCGCGCCAAAGCGTCATTCACGTACAGGCGGCCCGGGACGAGGCGTGCGCGCCGGCCGTGGGCGCGCTGCGACCGTGCGCCACCTACCCGCAGCAGAACCGCTCACTCTGGTCCCAGAGCTACAGCCCGGCGCGCGGCGCCTTGCGTACAGTCAACACGGTGGAGTCGCTGGCGCCCGGCGGAGCGGACTCCCCGGGGCCCGCGGAGCACAAGTCGCAGACCTACAGCAACGGCTTCGGCGCGGCCCGCGACGGCCTGGAGTTCGCCGATGCCGACGCGCCGGCCACGCGCTCGAACGCAGAGTGTGGCCGCGGTGGCCCCGGGCCCGCTCAGCGGCGCTGCCAGCGAGAGAACTGCGCGTTCTACGGGCGCGCCGAGACCGAGCACTTCTGCTCCTATTGCTACCGCGAGGAGCTGCGGCGGCGGCGCGAGGCGCGCGCTGCGCGGCCCTGAGCCGCCCGAGACTGCTTTTTCCATCCTGTGGGTCTTTTTTTTAACTTGCTCTGGTCAGCCGAAGGGCCGGCGCCTCCTCCTCGGTCAGTGCCGTGTATGTGTTTGGTCAAACGTTTCTAATGGTGCCTGAACCTACACTGATGCCACTCAGGTAGTAGACGGATAGGAAACAAGTCATACTGTTGAAAGTGGGTGTGCTAGCCTAGCATCTGCCTCGTACCTGTGGAAACTCAATAGCCATTGCAAGAGTATTTTTGTTCCTCTATATGAGAAATAAAGAAAATCGCAGCCCTTTGTTTTTAGAAGGGAGTGTTTTACATGCTTCCCCCTCCCCAACCTAGGGACTGACCTCTTCCAAGTAGCGGTCACATGCGTGCAGTTGGTAGCACGCAGGGTTTAGATACAAACGCGCAGCCAGGCCTGAGGGGAGCCACCTCCGCGGCTCCCATGTCCTTCCCACCTGGGTCCCTGAAGACCTCCAGCAGGCACTTCGCTACCCGCTGACGCTGACCCCTTAGGACTCCCCAGCTCCATCTCATAAGCAAATCCTCCCACAGACCCCGGCTCGAGCAACATTCACACTGCCATCCAAGCCACGGGCGACCACAGAATGGGCACCGGACAACCTACCTCTCAGGGCACGGTGAGGTGTAGCGATCGCTCCAGTGCAGAGCAGCTCCTGTCACAGGAGCTTCCCAGAGACACTTGGGGGTGCGAAAAAGCAGGGTCCTGAACTCCTGCTCATATTGGCCCACCTATGAGCCAGAGTGACAGGCTGCTCGTGTCTCCTTTGAAGACATGTGTACAGTGGACTGTCGCTGGAGGGTCCCTTAGGAGGTGATATCACATCCGTGCCCCAGAGGAGGGGACAGAATTTACCCCTTGGTCACTGTGTCGGCCCCAAAGTGGGCTGCTTTGAACCCAGCCTGGCCTCCTTCCCTAAGGTAGGGGCTGAGAGAGGGCCGGGAGGAAACTACCCCTCCTCCACCTGCATCTGTCAGGGTTCAGCCAGGTTAAAGGGCTCTCTGCTGGTGGAGCCCCTTCACGGGGCAGGTGGCCCTGCTCCTGGCTCCATGCCACATTGAGGGAGCAGCCCAATCTCTGAGCAGTCTCCTTTCTGGTGCCTCCTACATTTCTTGAGGAAAATTTAAAAAATAATAATGTGTCCTTAGCTACCCTATTTTGAGCAGCAATATGCAGCCTCTTCCTTCAAGATTACCTCCGCAGACCACTGTTCTTGACCAAGGACACCGCGGGGCTAGCCTGCCTCACTAAAGAGCAAGCTTGCTTCCAGGAAATACGGAGAAGATGGGTAAAATCCTCGCTAACGAAACAATACTTTCATACCTGTGAGAGCTTTAGACCAGCCCCTCACCCCCCCACCCTAAAACAGGAGAAAGCACCTGCTTCCCCCTCAGAGAGCGCAGGAGAGGGGTCCCACCTTCACTGGTGCCAGCCTCTCCTCCTGAAAGCATGTTTCATCCTGTGACATCCAGAGCAGCAAGAGCAGAAAAAAAAAAAAGGAAAAATAAAAAGTTTTCAAAAAATGGGGAGGGAATTTTTTTTTACCTGTTTGGAAGATGATAATAAAATAACTGAGTATCTCCTGTGAATACTTACTTTTTGTTTTTAATTATTCCACAGCCTGTGGAGTTTTCAGTAATGTATTCAAGTTTTGCATAAAGTGGTTCCTTAAATCAAAATTATTTATTAAATAGACTCTTTAAGAAGTTTTTTCAAAGTTTTGTTTTTGTGTTGAACAGATGCTTTAAGTGTGTGGTAATAACTAATATTCATGACCCCGACAGTACTGGGGTTTCTTTTGTTACTCAGAAAAAAAAAATATTCTCAGAAAAGTCTCTCACTGAGAGGGTTTGTGGCAGCTTTTTTTGGGGGGGAGGGGGCTGGTTTCTTTTGAACACATCACCTGAACAGCTCTTTCATCCTCCAGCGCTGTAGGTCACAGAAGCCTCTGCTTCCAGCAAAGCGGGCTGCTCTAGCTCATGCCTCATCCCTCAGAGCACCCACCTGATATTTCAGTGTGTATTCAGAAACCCAGTGCGTAGACACAGGAGGCGGGTATTCATGTTTGCCTCTCTCATACTGTGATGTTAAAACAACCAACAAGAAATTTCCAAACCTGGCTATGCAAATCCTTCATCTTTCTCATGCCCTCTGCCAGAAAAAAAAAAAAGTAACAAATAGGACAGAGGATTAAAGTAGTTCATTGTAATAAACCCTCCCAAACGGGGTAATGATATGTACTCTTGAAGCGTGACAGCAGATCCTGTCTCCTTCATTGCCAAGTTACTTCTCCTCCCCCATCTAATGATGAATGTGCCATACAGAAGAGCCTGCGGCATAGACCCAGACTGCAGACTGGCCATCCTGGCCGAATAAAAGGTCCCAGCCTCTCAACTTGGTCTCATTGGGCTAGACAAGGTGGAGCAGCGGTTGGGGCCTGCTCCAAACAGTCCACGTGGTTAAGAGTAGCCATTGCCTTCTGAGAGAAGAGCAGCTTCTGTGTAGTATTAAAAGTGGAGAGAGGCCAGTGTAGTGTGAACATATTGTTTCTGTGTGCCCGCAGCCTGCCTCGTGATCTTAAAACAGGTGACTGCTGTGCCCTCTGGCCATGCTTAGTGGCTGGAGACAGAAACACGTTGACCAAATTCCCCAAGATCTCTCTTTGACTGGGCAGCCTTTTGTGGACCAAAGAAAGGGACGAAGATAGGGAGTCCCAACTGATGTGCTGAGGGACACTGCCCACGCCAGTAGTGAGCAGTGCTCCACATCTGATCTGGCCAGACTTTCCGAGAGAGATGGGTGTCTCTAAGCAACCATAAATGTCCAGGAGAACTGATATTTCTAAGCCCTGTGGAGATTATTTCAGAGGTTCACAGTTCCTTCCCAGGCATCGCCTAGGGGTGATTTTATTACTTTGGCAAGGGAAGTAGTTTTTGAGTGTATTCTGTTTATAGACTTTAGGCACTGTTGCGCTCAAGTTTTATAGGCCAACTTGAAACTGTACTATACGAGTTATTTTTATACGACACTCAGACGTGCACCCTTCTTTTCACAGGGTTGTCCCTTGGAAGAGTGAATCGGGGTGGGCGGGGCTGCCCTGTGGGCTGGTGGAGTCTCGGCGCCTTTGTGCGGACCCTCTGACACTGGGACCGTGTAAATGTCTTCTCCGTCTTGACTGAGCTCTTAGTTTGTTTTCTTCTGTGTACGGGTTCGTGGTGCTGCATCTTTCTTATCGATGAAAAATTTGTCCCTAAGTTACCGTGTCCCTTTCCTTACCTATTAGTACCCAGTGCCATTTGAACCTATTGTTTTCCAAATTTAATGGTATCCAAAATAACTTACAAATTCTGCTAGCTTATTGTCATGAGTATCCCACTATAACAGAAGATGAAAGAGCCACCCCAGTGCAGGCCTCAGGGTGTGGAGTCCCCCATGAGGTCAGTACAAGCCCCAAGGCGCTGGGCAGAGCCAGCTGTAGCAAGGCCCTCCCTTTGCATCTGTAAGTTTATTTTGCAAACTCTCCTAACGGCAAAACCAGACCTTTCCTATCAAAATATATTCCACATTGATTGGGGAAAAATAAACAAGGAGGTGGGCAGGGTTGTAGACATTGGTGCTGGGGAATTTGTGAAAGACAGAAAAAGGAGAGTGGCGGATGCACTGTGTGGGTCTTCATTGTTTATATCAAGGCTTGGAGTAAAGCTAAGGGCACCTTCCTCGTGTTTGAGGTTTCTTTGTGACATGCTGTTTGCCCCTGATCATAGAAAGGACTTTGCATATCGGTTCCTCCCAAGTTCTTTGCTTCCAAGGCTTCTAATAAGGAGAAAGTATTTTGGTAACTGAGTGAGCTAGCTCTGGCCTTAACCCACGTGACATAGAAGAGTGGCCCAGGTCCGAGCTCTTGGAGGCTCCTGCTCTTGTCCTTTGAAGAGAAGCACTTGTGAGAAATCCGGAGGTTGGCTGGTCCTCCTGGCCCCAGGAAACAGGCAGTCCCTTCCCAAAAGCCTTACGTGGCAGCTCTCCAGACCTCTGAGCACCCCGCCTCTCTTTGCTAATCCATGTGGATGGAGGTCTTCAGGGCAGAGACCCCCACTTCCTTCTTGCTGCCTTCAGATCCTCCCTATTGGCCAGGCCTATGGGGCAGCACTGGTTCTGTTGATCTAAAGCCTGGTTCTGAAGAGTTAACCTTGCTCTCACAGGGCTGGGGCCAGGTAGTTCATCCTAGAGGCTCTGTACTCCACAGGGATGCTGGGAGTGGCCCACCCCAGACCTCCTCTGTGAAGAATGTCTCTAAGGAAGACCAGGAGTCTCGGGACAACTCCCAACAGCAGACAAGATCATCTGAGAGTTTTCAGCGTGGGGTGAGGTATATCCGCAGCACACAGGCTGGTGCTTTCCCCAAAGAGCCAGCCCTCCTCCCACTCCACTGCCACGTAGAGAAGAGGGAGGGAGGCACCCTACAGAGATGCCTGAGGATCTGCAGGAGTGCATGGTCTGTATGGGTGTGGAACATGTAATTACAGGGCACACTCAGAAGCCATCATCCCCAAACATGCTAGCTGTATGGCCCTTTCTAATAATGCAGAATAATTCATTAAAATTTGGATTTTTACTATTTTAGTTTAAAAATTTTTTTAAAGATCACAACCCCTAATTATGTTTAAATGAAACGATGCATACTGCTGTGTGTTATTCCTCCAGAGAATATCTCATAGAAGTGTGTGTGCATATACATGCATATTAGGTATATACATGTATATTCTGTTTAACATCAGGTGAGGAATATCAGTTGGTTTTAATGGAATCTGCTCAAAACCAAAGCAGTGAAATCAGCCATTTCAGAATCTGTCTCCACATTCTGAAGGATAGCTTCCCAGGAGAACACAATTTCCATGACATAGTAAGAGCCAAGATTTTACAAAGCCTGCCCTGAACAAGTGTGTTCTTGGCCAGAGACGGGGTCATCTGATTACCAGGCAGTCTCTGGCCTCAGGGCCTTTGTATATGTTGTTCCTCCTGTTCTTCACTGCCTACTCTTCTTCACTTCACCGCCGCCCTTCAGCAAGGCCTCCTCCAACTTGGCTATATAGGAAGCTGATATGTCCCACCCTCCCTACCATGTTCAGCTTCCTCTCATAGCCCCTGGTCAACAACTCATTCATTCGGTATACCACAGCCCCCAGGTTCCCATAGAATGTAAGCTCCATGCGGGCAGGACTTCCCATATATCTTGTCCACTGCTGTGTCCTGGTGCCTCCAGGGGTGCCTGACACACACTAGGCACTGGATAAATACTGGTTGAAGAAAAGAAATGAGATCACTCATTTGATACACCACAAAATGTCAGTTTCATTCTTCATCAAGTCCTGATTTTTCTGCTACTGTTACATATAAAAACTGTGAGCTGGTTAGGTGGTCTGGGTCATCAGGACTAGAGGTATCAAGTGACTAGATATGGCAGCTTATCATTGATAACAGCAGTGGTCACCGTCCGTCTCAGAGTGGGCCCTGTAGCCAAGCCTTTCCTCACAGTGGGGCTCTGCTATTTATTTGCAGGGGGCATTTTGAGACAAGCAGAGATAAAAATGGTCCATAGCGGGTAGCTCATAGTATGAGATGCACTATGGAGAGACCCATCATACTGGCTATAATGTCATTGGGGACGCCAACCATTCCAAAGGAGCCTTTCTAATCGATTCCTAGGTATCCATCTGTCCTTCCTGTACCAGACACAGTGGCACAGGTGTCCCAGCCCAGATGAAGGATTCGTTCTCCAGTTACCAAAACGCGGGCAGCGAAAGGAAAGGAAGTGATCACTCTGGTGATTTGGGACGGTGGTGGGAGTCACTGGGTGTGACACTGGGTGTGCACTGGAATGACAGAAAGCCACACACACCTCCATGGGCCTAGGACACTAATGGAGACACCCTGCACTCGACCTCACCCACCAAAGGGACTGCTGCTCCAAAGACTATTCCTTCTGCCAGGTATTTTCACAGCTACCTAACCACACTGTTTACTTCCTGGTCCTTTGGCCAAATTCATTTTCCTCTAAGAATCACTGGCAAAACGCTGTTACAGGCTGCTTATTGGGCCTTTATCCTCCCGGGGCCTGTTGTAAAGGCTGTGTCCTCTTTTATCTTCCGTGGTTCTTGCTTTCATCTCTCTGGATGCTATACTGTAGGGTTCCTCTCAGGTCCCTTCTGCATCTGTCCAGCTGTGCAAATGGGCACTTGCACGTGTGTCCCCATACTTGAATTGCCAAATATGTGATACTCCTTTCACTGCTGCCTGAGCAACTTGGGCCCCTGCTCCTGCCAGGACTCAGAGGGGACATAGCTTCCCAGAGGGTACTGCTCACCCTGGCGAGTGCTCAGGGGCGGCCCAACTCTCAGCCTCTGTGTGAGCACATCAGAGCTTGAATGATGGTTTGGCAGTGAGAGGAGGGCAGCACTCACCCATGACCCAAGCTAGGGCATAGGCATGAGCACAGTCATGTCTAAGAGTCCAGCACAGAGACCAACCTGCCTCCCACAGAGCCAGGATCATGGAGCTCAGCTCTGCCATAGCCCCAGGTGGCAGACACTGGGCCCCCCAGTGACACAAAGAAAGGAACACTTAGGCGCAGAAAGCAGGCTCAACTGAGTCCAAGCAGGGACTAAGCTTGGTGACCCATCACTGCCTCATGGACAGAGCCTGCACTCCATCCCCCCTCATTTTTGACAAACTGGCCTCCATGTAACTGGAAGCATTGATGCTGATTATAACAAAGGATTCCTCAGCCTGTGCTTGCCTAGTTCCTTTAAATGGGCATTTAGCCTCACACAATCATGAATTCTCTCTCTCTCTCTCTCTCTTTCTCTCTCTCTCTCTCTCTCTCTCTCTCTCTCTCTCTGGACTGATTTAGGGATGAAATAGATTGCTTTGTTTTCTATTTATTTTATTATTGTGGACAAAGAAAAACACTGAGGCAAAAATAGGTCATAGATCACCATGTTTCAACCAAGTTGTTCAAAAAATTCTTTCTGCCCACATGTTGAGTGTTCATGCTAATTCCATACAAGTCTTCTCTTCCATCTGGTCCATTGTCAGTGAAGAAACCCATTGTAAGCGCTGTCTAAAGTGATGAGGTCGCTCCTTTGTGAAGTATTAAAGCACCGAACCGATTTTTGCAATATGTAGTAAACCTTGCTTTCATTTTGGAAAACTCCCAGTAATGACCTACTGCACTTTTTTTTATAGAAGAACAGTATTTCATTCCTTTCTTTTATGAAAGATTATTTTAAGTAAAAATAGCTCTGTAACCCGTGTGACGTGGCTTCTCCATTACTTGATACAGAGGAGCTTTGATGCCGACTCAATAAAACGACCGTGTTTGTAAAGCGCGAGTTGGTCCAGTTATTTAGTCGTCCCGAGTCCTAGGTACTCAGTAAGATGCCATCAGAGAGAATCATTACGAAGCCAGCGAGATGACTCAGCAGATACAAGTGCTCGCTTCACCACATAATTACCTGAATTTGAACCTACATGAAGGCAGAAGGAGAGAACCCACTCCAAAGAGTTGTTCTCCGAGTTCCACGTGCGTGCCAGTGTGCACACAACAACAATGATCATAGTTTCAACAGTCTTTATGACCTAGGAGGAGGAGGATTGAAGTGGGAGTGTGTGTGCCCCTGTTTAGAGGGGAATGTGTTTTTCCCTTTGGGTGGGATGTGAACCCCATGATCCCAGGATTTCCTTTTGCTAACGCTCAGGACGCTTCCTGCATGGATGAAAATGGAGGAGTCCTTAGGCGTGTAATCACCAGGGGCTGTGACGGTAAGCAAAAGATACAGCTGCCCGTGTGACAGATTTTGATTTATGCTTTCCTGGTTTCCTGAAATGTAGAAGAACTAAGGAATTGTCTTTCTTTCCCTGGGAAGAGTCCAGAATCCTGGGTCTCTCTCAGGCACAGCACTGGGCCAAGACTCAGATAGAGCCGTGCATCCAGTGCCCACTGCACGCTGTGCCCTGATCTTAGTATGGGGACAGTGGTAGAGGGTGACCTGTCTCCTGCACTGAATGGCTCCACAGGGCATGGCACATTCCTCTCTTATGGAGTCCAGTCTATACAACAGCCTGGAAGGGAGAAATCAAAAGCCTCATCTTGTAGAGAGTCAGGATCTGGACCCAGATGTGCCTGGCATAAAGTGTGTGCTCTTTTTTTTTTTTTTTTTGGTTTTTTCGAGACAAGGTTTCTCTGTGGTTTTGGAGCCTGTCCTGGAACTAGCTCTGTAGACCAGGCTGGTCTCGAACTCACAGAGATCCGCCTGCCTCTGCCTCCCGAGTGCTGGGATTACAGGCGTGCGCCACCACCGCCCGGCCCCAAGTGTGTGCTCTTAAACTGTCTGCAGGATGCCAGTCCACAGGAGGCAGGACCTGCCTGGCACGAATGCCCGGTCCAGGGAAGCTGGCACACAAATCCTCATCTGACTCCTAGGAGCCAAGCATTAGCACAAATGGGAGAATCTTAGAAAGATCTAGACTAGGCTGTGGGGTTCGCTGGGACAAAAGCCTATATACCTCCAGGGTCCAGCTGAGGCCAATAAGTTCCCATTGTGTCTGACTCTGGTGGTCTACCATAGGAGACCTTGAGACTAGCTAGAGGGTAGAAGGCTCGTCTTAGTTCTTCAGGTTGGCAGAAAGTCAGTACCACACCAACCCTGGCTCTCGACTTCTATTCTGTAACACAATATATATATATATATATATATATATATATATATATATAGATAGATAGATATATAGATAAAGTTCTTAAACATGCCATAAAATCATGAAATACATACATCATTTGGAAAACCAAAGATGCCTCAGGGAGTTCAAGAGATGGCTGAGTGGGTAAGAGGTTAGGAGTGCTCTCTCAGAGGACTTAGTTCAGTTCCTAGCACCTGTGTTGGTTACGTCATAATTGCCTGTAACTCCAAAGCCGGGGGATGGGATGCCCTCTCCTGGCCGACACACACACACACACACACACACACACACACACCTCCCCCCTCCCCCACGAACACACTGATAAATAAAAATAAACAGTTAAAGAAAAGGATGTCTCCGTTATTTTTAAAAGAGGGATTTTAAAATGGAGAACTAGACAAGCTAATATGGGAAGATGAAAAACACAAACAGGGAACCGAGATCACAGCAAACCGTCTGCGGGAGGCAGCTGCCTCTCACAGCTGCAGCTCAGTGATAAAGCGCTTGCCGCACGTGTGCAAGCCCCTCCGTTCAGTCTCCAGCGCACACAAGCCAAGAGGAGGGGGCTCTCCTGAGTGGGGTCCAGGCCTGTGGAGAGGGCAGAGGGAACCCTGCTCAGCTGGGGCTCTGGCTTAAGAGGCCCAGAGGACACAGAGCTGGGCTCTGGTATCTGAGCACAAGTTGTTGACAATCTCTGAAAGATTCTTCTATAAGGAGGGAACGAACTGGAACAAATTGCAGCTGGTTGCTAGGACAACGGTGACAGAAAGTGAAGCAAGCCCTCTGTGTGTGTCCCCGCCACACACTCACAGTGTGCACAGTGTACAGTTGTCCCCGTGTCAGAAGGACTCATCCCAGCACCCCCCACAAATATCACAAGCCGCAGATGCTCCCAGCCTTTCTTAAAGTGACAGTGTCCGCAGAGAGCCTCTGTACATCTCCTGCAGACTTTAAGTCATTAGACACAGGAGGCCGAATACTAAGGAATGTTAGTTGTCAGTGTTCTACTTGCCAGGCTCAGAGACTAGCCTCTCAAGAAAATGCCTGGCCATGGGGATATTTCTCCTCCAGTATATTTGCTCTGTGTGTGCTTGATATGGAGCCATAGATTTGTAGACATGTGTGCATGCGTGTGCACGTGCGCGCGCACACACACATACACACACACACACACACACACACACACACACAGGAAGAAAAGATGCCTCTTCTACAACCCCTTGGGTCCTGGCAATCATCCCTAAGTCCCTACTCTGTGGCTGACCCATGTTTCCTTCACTCTTCTTGGGCATTTTCCTCTTAGGAATCCAGACTTTTGTTCCTGAAGACCGAGCGTCCTCAAAGGCCATTTATTGGATGCTAGTTTGCTATTAACTTTTATGTGGGGACGTGGACTTCACTGAAGCCTCCCAAAAGAGGGCCCTGGGTTCCACACATGATGCCCCTGGTAACACATTATGCCCTATTTTGAAAAAAAAAAAAAAAAAAAACACCTTTTTGTTGCGGTTGCTCCTTCCGTTCCTTCAGCCAATAGCTGCTGAGATACCAGCCCATTGGGGCGTGGTCTCTCTCTCTTTAAAAAGGCTGCCACTGCTCTCTGGCTTCAAGCTCCACTTCCAGCGACTAGGCTCCCTTCCTGATTGTGCAGAGGGCTGTTGTCTGGGATGGTGATCTGTAAGTTTTCCCCCTTACATAAATAACCATTCTATTAATCATAATTCCAAACTGGTGTGGGATTGTGACTTACACCTTCACCTTTTCTTTAATAAAGACTCAGTTCTCCAGCATCCCCTGGAGATGTGTACCTGAGCATGGCTCTAGGAAGTTGTCCTGATTATATAATCACTGACGGGGGAAGACCCATCACAGTGAGCAGAACAAGGCCCTGACTGGAAGCCTGGACTCTATGAATGGGGGAGAGAACTAAGTGTCCATTTGCATCCACAGCTCTCTATGCTTTATTGCGGGGACAATGTCATCAGGTGGTTCAAGTCCCTACTGCCTTGGCTTTTCTGCCACGACAGACAGTCCCTTTGAGCAGTGAGGCAGAATAACCCTTTTCTTCCTGTCTGTCAGGGTGTTTACACAGCAACAGGAAAACAAAATGAAGACACTATTGTAGATTGTCCAGGTTCTATGTGGCAAGGACATTAAGAATAATGGAGTCCATTAAAGTTCATAGAACAATTTAATAAAAAAAAGATTCAGTTCCTTAGTTGGTGGAGTAATGAATGGTTTTGTGTTGACTCGGTGGCTTGCAAAGTCCCCAAGAATCTCGGCTTCCGGCTTGGTAAGATCCCAGAGCCTCCTGCTTGAAGATCCCAGGAGGGACCTGGGATGGGAGAGGAAAGCACAGTCTCCCATTTGTCCAGCACAACAGCAATGAGATCTACTCACCAGGCCACCCTCTCTTGTCCCAGACCATGGTGGTCGTGTTCATGTCATGGGAGGGAAGTGACGATTGATTCCAGCCCTGACTTGTACCCTTCAGGACAACCTTACCCTTCAGGTGATTGTCTTCCCGCTGGAATCATGAATGCATAGCAGACAGGCAACCAAACTCACCAGGCCAGCTGCATCTGTATGACTGGAATAGAGTTAGATTAGTGACAAGGGGGTACAGTGACAGATGCACATATAGGAAAGTAAAGAGATAGATCTCTCGAGGACCCTGAGACGTTTGGTGGCATGTTCATACTCATCAAAAAGAACCCTGTGTGAGGAGTCCCTTGAGACTCAGGGGGATGGGTAGCCTGTTCTGTGATGTCACTAGGCATCCTTGTTACTCAATGGGCTTGTATAGAAAGAGTCCATGCTTGCATGGGCAGAGGCTTTGACTTACAAGTCACCACAGAGATCTCCTTTCCAAGGCCAGCCTACGGACCATGACTACCGTGCTTAGGTCACCGTCTCACAGATGAAGCCTATATGGTGTCCAGGGGATTACAGGTGACCCCTTCCAAAATGGAGGGTGCAGTAATTTGGACCTGGAATGTCTCCCCAAATGTCTGCAAGTTAAGGGCTTCATCCACAACTTGCTCTATCAGAATGGGCAAGAAGTTAGATTCCTAGAGGTGCCATCAAGAAATTTAACAATCTCTTCCTGTCACCTGTCTTTCCAACCAAGAGGTGAACAACTGTCCCAACCACACAGTCCCACCATGATACTCCTCTCCACACTGCAGGGAGACCGTGGCCTCCAAAGCTCAGCCCGAATATTCTCTTTTATTTCTTTGTTTCTTTATTTGACAGCACTGGAGATTGAGCCTAAGTCCTAATGCATGCTAATCAAGTGCTCTTGACACTGAACTACAGCCTCAACCCAAACTTCTCTTCTCTTTGTAAACCAATCACCTGGGGAGATCAGAAGTGAACCAGAAGCTGATGGATGCAGAAGGAAAGCAGTTTCACAACCTGGGCAGATGCGCTCTGGATTCATATCATCAGCAAACAGTGAGAGTTTAACTTCTTTTCTGATTTGTATCCGCTTGATCTCCTTTTGCTGTCTTATTGCTCTAGCTAGGACCTCAAGAACTATATTGAATAGATATGGAGAGAGTAGACAACCTTGTCCTGTTCCTGATTTCAGTGGAATCGCTGTGAGTTTCTCTCCATTTAGTTTATGTTGGTTGTTGGCTTACTG